AAACTAATAGTCATGGAAATAAAAATGCTAGAAAGTTAATTTTCGTGTTCGGTTACATGTGTGAGCCACTGTATAATTTTTGCTTGGATTAATTACTTGGCATAATCAATTCATCAGTTTCAGCCTTATAGCAGTGTGAATATATCACGATAATATTTTTTGCATAATTATAATTCCTTGAATATAAGAGAATTAAAAAATGAAAAGACCAAATATGAATTTCTTATGTTAGACTGAAGTGAAGTGCTAATTAAAATTTGTATAAACTAAATTGGATCGCTTCAATAAATATTAATCGTTAATTTGTTCAGGATTGTTATAGTAGACCTGTCTCGATAAACTGAGTTTTTAAATTTTTTACACTAATGTTTAACAAGGATTGACTGTATTTCTTATTGCATATGTTTATTTGACTGGTACAAAATTCACAAAGAAGTCATTTTGAAAAGATTTATGTTTATACATAAAATCCAAGTATTTTTTAGAAAGTAATTCTAATAGATTATTAATTATTTGGTTTCAAAAATTATATTTTATTATTGACTTACTTGAAATTTTTAATATTTACACATGGGCAAAATAAATTGTGTACATCTGTTCCGTAGGATTGGACAAAGCGAATCTTCATAGAACTTCAATTATGTTAATGCGTATAAGAATTTCACATGAAAAATGACATAACACGCATTTGCTGTATTAAAAAGGTCTTTTTATTATTTACACACAACAATAGAAAGCCACTTATTTATTCGTTCTGTCTCATTTTCATGCATAGAAATCGATGCTACTCTTTTTTAACGCACACAAATAGAAGTCAAATAATAACAATAACGATAAATCTTGATTAGTACCCTGTGTACATTGTATAAAGTTAGGGTATTCTAAATGCTGAAGGGGATGCGGGTATGCTACATCAATCTTTAAGATAACCTATATTCCGAATCCATACCCTAACCCTTTCCAATAGAGTACAGTACAATGAACGAGAAAGCAGTTTCCTCGGATCTTTCACAATTTGCTCGGATTTCGTGAATTGGGATCGACATTATTTCATAGAATGGCCGATTTAGAAATAAAAGATGTCAATCGTCAATGATCAGTGTTTGCATTATTTTTTGTTCTCGGAAAATACTGGTACATTACACATGATCTATGGAAAGTTAAGGGGTACGTTACTTCTGACGAGCACTGTAAGAACAACCCTTTTTATAAACGAACTCTGGTCGGACTATAAAAATTTGCGAAAAATGTCCAATTAATAACTTAATTTATATTTATATAAATATTTTATAACATTTAAAAAGAGCCTTAATGAAATTACCAAGATTCAAGCATGGATTTATTACATATATTATTTATAATAAGTAATGTTAGAAAAGATGGCTTTTGGGTACTTTTTTTTATTGTTTTTCAAGTGACATCATCGCAGTATGTCGATATTCCGTCAGCTAGATACGCTCAGTCCGCAAATCTTATTAACGACAAAATATATTTTGTTGGAGGGTGGAATAATGAAAAAACTTTTCAAATTGATGTTTTCTATTTGGATTTAGTTGCATATTTTGGAATAGACAATTTGCCATTTAAACGGATTAATCTTAATCCGCCGCTCTTTATTGCATGGCATACTGCTAATGTATATAATGACACTCAAATTATTATTATTGGTGGTGTTACCATTTGCATTAATTAGAATGTAACGGTAAACTTTCTAGATTAACAAAGAAACAATGAGATATACTTAGCCAGAACGAATCATTAATTAACGTTAAGTTAAACGAATTGACCATACAATCATTTCCATTGAGTAATAATGGACCTTCGGCTCGAAGAAGCTTAAACTCGGTAATTGATAACATTGGAACAATTTATGTTTTTTCTGGATCAAATCAAACGGATTCTGGACCAACTCGTGATAATTTAGATACAACAATGTATAAATTAAAAGTGGCCCAAAACACATGGTCAGCTGTACCATATACATGTATCAGATCTGTGGATACAGCTTTAATGTCGGCATTTGATTATACCGATACTGCCACATTGTTAGATGATGGCCGAATTATTTATACAGTAGAAATATGAATGATGTAAGAAATTCACTTTCAAAATTTTTTATTAGCTCTTTTGATATTAATTTCGATATAGATACGTATGGATTTATAATACAAAAACTGATAAATGGGAGTTTAAGGTGTGTATTTAGTTTTTGAAAATTAAAAATATTTAGGAAGCTGTTAGAATAATACAGATAATCTAATTTTTTTAGAATTGTTCAGGAGTTGATGTTAAAGAGCGTGCTTCACATAGTGCTGTTTTGGGTAATTTAATTCTATGGATTCTGAAAAAATTAGAATTGCATTTATTTAAAAATTTTAATTATAGGACCAGATCGATCAACTATAATCATCTATGGAGGATACAGTCCTATACCTCTCACTAATGGTCAAGCTCTCTTTATTCTGGATGCGAAGAAGTGGAGGTGGTCAAAACCGAATATTAATAATCCTCCAGTGATTCGGCATGGACATACTGCGACTATGTATAATAATTATATGATAGTTGCATTTGGTAAATATAATCTATACACGGTATAATTGCTCATTCTCATTTGAAAACGAATTAAAATTCCCTTTTGATTGATTCTAGGAGCACAGCAAGAAGACGATAAGAGTGTTCCAATCTCTAAAAATGTAATAAGCATCCTCGACACAAATAACAATTCATATAGTTGGGTCGAACAATTCAAAATAAGAGATATCATACAAACACCTAGCGAGTCCGCCACTCCTTCTCCGACCACTACAAATCCAGCACAAACACCAGTTCCCGAAACATCACAACGTTTAGGTATCATTATTGGAAGTATGATTGGCAGTGCTGTTGTTATAATAGTTTCTGTTATTGTTGGCGTGTTCTTTTATCGACGAAGACGGGAGAAACAAATGACTGTGGAAGGCCATATTCATTTTCCGCAAGTACGTGGTTGACGTTCTTGCTCAATCGCATGTTGCAAGACCTTTAAATATATGCGCTCTATAAATGTAATCTCTCTAAATGCATGCCAGTAATCCCGGTAACTTGTACATGTATTTAGGGAGAGTTGACTGAACTTGACATCTCGATGTGGAAAACAATCGTGATAGTACGCGAAATAGTAGAATTGTTCAAAATTATGGGTGCTAAAAGTAAATTCTTTATCGTTTTATTTATCCCATTAATTTTTTAATGCTCAATTTAAAACTTTTTGACATAAATATTTTTTATTCTTAAACCAGATACAAAATTCTATGGTTTTATTGAGATTTTTTATTTCATTTTCTGGAACGTAATCTAATTTATTTAATTCTCCAGAATGTGAATATTAATATCATGGAAAAAATCATATTTATATTGGAATGACAACATATTTATTCTTTGAAAAGCACAAATGGATGATAACCTTCGTAATAAGATATACTATAAATACATGTAGGAAACGCTTTTCGTATTACTCACGTTCATTATTTTCCGTCGAGAAGCACTTACGAACACTATCATGGCAAATTATGATAATGACATGTAATATAGCTAGGTACTGTTACGCGTTAGGGGCCGAATATAGGAGTTAGCGTTAGGGTGTTAATCTGTAACTTGTGTGTGAGAAACGAGTTAGACTAAGATTAATTTTTCTAGCGCCCGTGCCAATATCTTCGGATATTGTTGTATTCAACTGTCGTTTCGATTTCGTTTACGTATTCACAAACGTCAATAACACAACCACTTTTTCTGGATCAAAGCGTAAACCCTTCAAATCGTAATCGTTACGGATGTTAAATCAATTATCTCACTTTCTTTGGACAAAAAGTGGAAACCCTCTTTTCAACAATGAATTATTATTATGATGGTGAATTAAAGGCAATACTATAAGAACTTGTTGTACACAAGTAAGGCCTGTAATTGCCTATCTTTATTGCATTTTCTCGTTATATACATTTTTATTTTCATATTACAGGAAGAAATTATTGAGCAATTTACAGTGTAAATTATGGTGTCAATTATTATTATGTGTAGTTTACGGTGTAATTTTTTTAATAATACATGTAATAACGATAAGGAAAAACAATGCTAAATTTTGTGTTGCCAGTGTAACAGTACATATCGATATATACAAGCAGCTTTTAGTTACCGTTACATGTACCATTGCATAATAGCTGGGATCAGAATAAGGTGTGACTGATTAACGTTAACTAAATCGTTTTGTCATATATTATCGTTATTCTTGCCCCATACTTTTGGCAAAGCGGTGTGTGAAAGCATAAGATATCCACTTTTAGATCATCATATCAAGTTTTATAACAAGAAAGAATCAAAAAGCTATCAATAAAGAGTTCTGATTTGTCAGGTTAATTATTTCATATAAGATCTACAATTCAAAGCCTGGTGGACATGTGATACGTGTTTATCACAGTGTTAAAGGTTGATTTTTTGAAATTTCCGTGTCTGAATTACAATACTGGTTAATAGACTTGATTAAATCAGAAAACTGCTACGTGCCATCTTATATTCGTAGATGTCGAGGCTGTGGGATTTGTGTTTTGGGGGTATAGTTCAAGAAAATGAGAAAAATTCGAAGATTTTTTGAAGCTACAGTGTGGTTCACTTAGTCACCAGCCAAATTTCCAGTTATATACCAAATCAGGTATCAATGGTTACTAATTTCCTGCTATATTCCACCTCAGGATTAATAGTTACTAATTTCCTATTTTTAAGATGCGTTAAAGTGTTGTACCCACGTGAATCACATGGTAATTACAATTAAAAGTTGTTTTTAGATTAAGGTTAGGGTTAGAGTGGAGAATAAGGTTATATGTAAAATTGTATTCATGACCTTTTTTCATTTTTTCGTTCACGCTTTGGATTTGTTTTGCCACGCCGATTAAAAATTTACGCATCCTTATTAGATCCAGAAATAGAATTATATGTAAAATTGCCTTCCCGACATTTTTTATTAGTGCTTCAAGCCAAATTTAAGCATTCGTTTTCCATATTTTTCACATTTAAATTTTCTTGTGTCAGATTTGTTTTTCTGGATTGATCAAAAATTATGCATTTTTATTGGTTAATCTAGAAGACCTGATGTGCAGTCAACCAATTAGCGATGGAAATTATCTGTGTGGCCAAAAATTTCCAAACCTGTATATAAACTGGTAAAAAATCCTTAACCTTTAAGAGCTATCAACTCAATAACCAGAATTTTTCCAGTCGTCAATGAACTATTAATTTACGTATTTATATCATAAGGCGGGGCTTTGAAAGGATTTAAAGCTAACTCATTTTTTGTGTGTGAATAAGTGACCCGCACTGTACTCGTTAATCCGAAAATGGATAATCATATATCGAGATCAACCGAAGATCATACAAGCCAGTCAAATTTAATTTAAGGTTATGCAACCAACATAAGACATGTACATGTATTTTCTCATTGCTTAATACATGTACATGTATAGCGTGCTTGTATGTTAGTGGCTGTGTGCAATAGCAACAAGTGGGCTGTGTGCATTAGAAACAGTGTAAATAATACCATTTCTATTGTACTTAACACAAACTTTTCTTATAAAATGAAACGTTCGCTCTCCTAACTTTTCATTATTCACCTTCCGAAATAACAAAAATTTGAAAATCACCAAAGAAGAAACTCGAATAAAAAACCAATTATGACTACCTTTAACAAAGTCGTTTGTCTCGCTCTGTTCTTGGCGATCTGCCTCATTGCTTCATCTGACGCAAGTCCTATAGTACCTTATTTATCCTATGGATCTGCACCCCCTCCCTATTAACGGTGTTGGTGTTGGTGTCGGTGGAGGTGGTATCACCAACGGTGGTGGTAACATTGGACAATCATGGCCGCTAATTAAGTATAATAAATACGTAGGAGCTTTATAATGCGTATTACATGTAGAATGATACTTTTTGATCAATAAAATTAACTTTATTTTCAGAGATCACCTAAAATCAGCTAGATTATAATTGTTCGAATGAATTTATACATGTGTATCTATTAAAAACCAAAAAAAAACAGGGGACGCAATATCACTTTCAAAAAATACACCATTCGATCCGTCTAGTCTTGGCGAATCGAATGGTGGTATTTTCATCCAGATTGAACCTGTGAATCATCTCTAAGTAATAATAAAGATAATTGTTTTTTAGTCAAAATTTCATATAATTTAATGAAATTTTAAACAATAACTCTTTAAACTATTCTTAAGTTCTTAAAAAACTAATAAAATTTTTTGTAATTATTGATAATTTTTACAGTTATATTTGAAAAAAGGTTATTAATATTATTGCCGCAAAATATCTTTAATGGAGAGTATGTGATAATTTCTGTGTATTTAAAATAAGATGGATGTTTTTCCCTTTTATGATTTGTCCAACACTTGTTTCATTACAACTGTGTGCTTTAAAAGCATAGTAGACAATTTTTTGTTTTAAAAAAACGCTTGCCATTGAGTGTCTTTATCCAAGCCGAAAAAGAAGAAAACCGACTTTGCGTAAATCACATCGTATACATAAGCGCGTTTTTCTGATTCTTCATATAAAATACAACCCTCAGCAGACTTTTTAAGTGTTGAAAAAAACCACACACTTGGACCATTAAGGTCAGGACGGAGTTGATAAAGTTTTTGTAAAGCCTCAGCTTCAAAATCTTCTTTGTACTTTGAGCGTTTCACTGTTGGCTCGTTCATTTCCCTTTCAGAATATAAAATTTGGCTTCTCTACAAATTATAGAGTAAATGTTAGTTAAATTGCGTTAGTATTGTAATTTACCTTTATTCCCCTCTCCATTCTTACTTTATAATAAAGTAACCGTCTTGGTTGCAGCCATTTGAATTGTTTTTGCGCCGGTCAAACCATAACATCAGCCATTTCCAATATATGATGTAGTTTTTAAAGATAAAACAAGAAGGTATAAAATATTGCATAACTGGTTACTCACTCTTGTATATTCCGAGTTTCGGAAAAAAGCTATACCTTGGTAGCGGAACTATTTTATAAAAACGTATAAGTATACTTCGATGAATCAAACCCGACACAATGGTTTATATATTGATATAAAATGACTGTTTTTTGTATTATGACTACCAAGTTGTCCCCCCGTTATTTTACTAACCCCTAGATACTATCGGAGGACTGAGTAAAATTTACAAAGAATGTTTCGTGCATCGTGACTTTCACCTCGAAAATAAATATATTAAGAATTTTGAACTTACCCTCTCTATCATCAACCTCTTTAATATCAATACTTCTTTATTATCAACATTTATCGCAGAACAAATTTCACTTGGAATATACAGTCAACCCCCTTTATTGTCAGCCTCTTTAATATCAATACCTCTTTGATATCAACATTTATTGCAGAACAAATTTCACTTGGACTAATATATCGATACTAACTCTAACCTTTGAGTTATCCTCTTATAATCAACGAAAATGCCTGGTCCCGTCATGTTGACAATAGAGAGGGTTGAATGTATTTATTGATAAACAGCAAATGGAGGTTAAAATATCGAATACGGAGATGAATTTTAGTAATACTAATAAAAACTAACTTCCCGAATGATGTAAAGAATTTCTGTCTGATATTGAAGTACAATTGACCAGTAGCAATAATACCAGAAAAAGATTTCTCATAGCAACTAACTCCAATGAATCCGAATGATCAAATACATAGTAGGTTACAATTATCAACCTCCACAAACTCAAGTAATTCTTGGAGTATTCTAAAGAGAACAAAAAGCGAAAAACCTTCGAAGAATTAGGAAAGCAACCGACTATGGAATTCTCAGGTATCATGGTGAAGGAATGACCAAGAAGTTGCAGTTTGTTGGAAACAACAGTGGCAAAACAACGGGTCTCATCTGCTTGCTATTATCTAGCATTAGTAAAACCTTGAAGGTCCAGGTATTCCGCTTAGCGACGTGAAGCAACAGACCTATCACCAATAAGTCAGTGTAAGTTTCGCTTGTTTTTATTGTTAAAAATCCATTCTGAGCAGTTTCATGCAGTTTATCGAGAGGTTTGGACTTGAGGGTCCGAAATTAGGCTAAGCCTATCAACATCAAAATTTGAATCACTGAATCTGTGGGGTGGTTAACTTTGAAGAGAATACATTTCCGGAAAGTATATGACTACACGGTATTTGAATTATTAGCATAAGTTCACTGGAACTTGACATTCTAGTACCTTCAACTTCGTTAATGATGCAGTTTTGAAGCTCACTCTTAGCGCTTTAATATCAAGTTTTTTGAACTGAGATACATTATGAGAATCTGGATGACTAAAATTTATGAAATGAAGATTTGAAATAAAATGATTTATACAATGCATAAAGTAACAAAAATTGGCTGTGATGAACTTTATTAAAGAGATAATTAATAATTGTCAAGTTCCTGATACTAAAAAATATATATTATAAAAATATGCAAATAATATGAATTAATAAACTTTTTGAGCTTGCCAACATTTCTGCTTCTTTTGTAGGTTACTTTGACAAATACTATAAATCATATCATAATGAATTAAAAAATAACTGTTTTCCATTATGATTTAATAGATATACTATAAATCATATCATAATGAATTAAAAAATAACTGTTTTCCATTATGATTTAATAGATATACTATTTATTTATTTGATTTTTTTAGCAAAATATATTAATATTTTATTTATACTAGATGCATATTATAAAATAATCACTTTTAATATAAAAAAGTATTTAGATACAAAATATATAATCTTTGAATTTTGTACTAAACAAATTTCTATTATTGGTATTAATTGTAAAATTCTTGATCAAATTCACAAGTTTCTATTTTTTATTCAACAAATAATAGTTAGTAAAGTTTAAGCTATTAAAAAAAATAGAAAAAGATAAAGAAGTTTCCAGTTTGATATCTTTTGACTGTCATTATCTATTCTTCTATTAGTACCTAGTGTTCTATTACCATATTTTTCATGAACATTTATATGATGAAAAAAAATTATTAACTATTAATATATAAGAATAGTTCTAGTAGATGTTTACAGAAAGTGAATTCGAATTATATATGAATTATAAGTTATAGTGGTCGTTATAAGTATCCAGAATTTAGTTTTTTAGATATAACTTCACGAAAATTCATTCAAAATATATGAAATTATATATATAAAATATATGATATGGAAAACAAATTTATCTAATATTACAAATACACTTAAATTAATAAAAGTTTATACTAAAAATTGTGAATTAGAATATTTAAAAATTAAGAAGGATAACAAGATTCTAAAAAAATATTTTTACTAATCAATTTTGCAAATATTTTTAAGAAACATATTTCTATATCTTAAAAAATATATCAATTATTTTTTAATTAAATTTACTTCATCATTATTTCATAATGATTAATTAAAAAAGATATAATTTTGCTAATAAAAATTGAATTTTTTTATTTTTACTATAATTTATTAGAAAATTTAGCAAAATTATACCTTTTTTTAATTGTTATTATAAAATAATAATAAAGTAAATTCAATTAAATATATTCTTTAAGATATGAAAATATGTTTCTTAAAAATATTTGCAAAATTGATTAGTGAAAATATTTTTTTAGAATCTTGTTATTCTTCTTAATTTTTAAATATTCCAATTCACAATTTTTAGTATAAATTTACACAAAATTTTATTAATTTAAGTGTATTTATGATATTAAATAAACTTGTTTTCCATATCATATATTTTATATATATGAAATTTTATTTATTTTAAATAAATTTTCGTAAAGTTGTATCTAAAAAACTAAATTCTGGATACTTATAATGATTATTATAGTAAAAATAAAATTGTTCAAGAAAATAAATACTGAAAAAGCAGTAAAAAACTGATATTGAGTTATAAATAAATTAATCAAAAAAATACATAATGCTTATTGGAAAATTAAAGAAGAAGAAGATGTAATACAAAAGTCTATTTTTATTAAAATATTAAAGACTTTGTTAGAATTTATTTAAATTTATAAGAACAAAATGAATTAAAGATTTAAAAAAATTCTAAATTGTATTAAAATATTATGCTTTGTATATTATTACAATTATGTTATAAAATTTGTTAATTCCATAATTTGTAATATTTCACAAAATTATGAAAATCATGTAAAGAACTTAGATCATTTCACAATTTTTTTATATATTCTTAATATTAAAATTCATATACTTTTATTTTTTTACTTTATACTCCTATATTTTTTATACTTTTTATACTTATTTTACCTTGTATTCCTATATTTTTATACTTTTTATATTTTTATACTTTTTATATTTTTATACTTATTTATTCTGAGTGAATATAATTTAACCAATCAAAATTCTTGAAGATTTATACTTTTTCTCCTTTATTTCTTTACTTTCCATATTTAGTAAATTGGAATTCTATTTTTAGTTAGTACAGTGGCGATCATAATTAATGCAACAAAAAAAAAATTTTCGTTGAATTGAAATATTTCATGCAAATTCGGAGAT